TAATGAAATTGAGGCACAGAGAATTTATGTAATTAACCCAAGGACTCACTGCTCATCGGTAGCAGAGCCAGGATTTAGAAAGCAGGCAGTCTAGCCCTAGAGTCTTGTGTTCTTAACCATTACACTATACTGGGTATACTGCATGTAACAGAATTGAATGTGTACTCTGAAAAAATTCAAAGGATGACTTCAAATACAAAATTAGGAAACATAAGTGAAGGAAAGAGAGTAGAAAGGACATTAAATCTCTTGGGACAGATTTGATATGTCTTCAGCTTATTGCTAAAAATAGTATAAATAGTAAATGAACAGATAAGGAAATTATGCTTCTAATTGCTATTTTCTACAGTTAAAGTAATAAAACTCTAATATTTACTGTGCAGCCATTATTAAATCATGCGATTATATCTATATCCTGGTTATTCTGTTTCTTAGGATTTTTTCTCTCCTGGCATTGTACATCAGTAAATTATGCCTTTGTCCTTTGTTATGAATTAGGAGTTAAATAAGAGGCAGACTCAATAGGACTTAGAGCATGCAATGCTACTGCGACAGCACGAATCCATGCAAGAACTGGAGTTCCACCACCTCTACACAATTCAGAAAATGCGCTGTGAGTTGATGAGACTGCAGCATCAAACCGAGCTCACTAACCAGCTGGAGCATAATAAATGGAGAGAGCAAGAACTAAGGTGAAAGCATGTCATGGAGGTTCGACAGCAGCCTAAGAGTCTGAAGGCACATTTAGCCTAAGCTTCTTGACAAACGGAACAGATAAAAGGCATCATGTAAACAGTAAAAGTCTGAGCCAGATGTCTGTCATAAAGAAACTGAAAAAGCTTTTTTTCTTTTCATTTTAAGCATGTTTGGTTGGTTTTGATGTAGAGGGTCTGTAGCTACAGACTTCTGCTTGTGTATTTCTCAGCAGAGTTCCAAAAAATGGCCAGAACTTTTTAACTGTGGAAAGTGCCATAAATAAGATTCAAAATTCTTATTTTAAGTGTACCCAAATGTCCAGTATTGATACTACAATCTATATATCAATGCACTAACCTGTTGGCTTCTCTCTGTTGTTCCAAGTTTCATAGTTTTGGAATCTTATTTCCTCTGAATGTGATTTGTATCCAAAAGAGGCAGTAAGTTCTTAATTAGTACAGAAAGAAGTGAATGAAAAATCCCTTTCTACCCCCTCTCCCTTCACTGTCAATACTCACCCTAAGAGGAATAGTGGAATTATCACTTTGTTACTCCCATTCTTTCTGTGCTTGGTAACATAAGAGCAGGGCATGTGCAGTTGGAGTGTATGTTTTTAATTAGTACATTAGAGTGAAGCAAATTATTATATGTCCTCTTGTAGATAAATAAGGAAAGACAAGTGGTGATATATAATATCAAAGGACTTTAAACTTTCTATTTGCTTTGCAAAGAGAAATTTATTCATGATACAAAATTCAAAAGATGCCAAAGTGTAATTATCATGAAGTTAAAGGTTTTCCTCTCCTTGTCCTTTAAGCCACCTGGTCCAGCCCCCTCTACCAAAATCAACCAGAGTTAACAATTCCAAGGAATTTTCAAATTTTATAACTTGTAAAAAATATGTGAAGTATAAACACATGAATCTTAATAAACAAAAAACCAAAATGACCCACTATATATGTTGTCATCCATAGTAGTACCTCAATTAATCTGTACATGTCTGCACATTTTAAACTTTTATTTACATGCAAAAAGGCCCAGGTCCCATAGTATCTTCTTTACCCCCTTTTTCAAACTCTTTGACAATTTAACTATAACTAACAGATAACAACACTTACCTGAATAACTCTTCTGAAGTGGAGTGAAATTCACTCACAGAAGTAATCTGTGTCCAAACCAGAGCTAAACCACACCTCGTGGTTTCTCTGATTCCTACAAGTTGTCCTGAACAAAATACAGAAGCAAAGCTAAGATTCACCCTTTCCTTGTGAATCCAAGTAAAATTTTACTTTGCTATGTCTTCAAAACAGCTAATGAACATCATTTACAGAGTGGCTCATAAGTTGACTACCCACATAACTGTCATTAGTTCTGTCTATTAAAATCAGAATTCATTATGAATTTCCAGATTTATTTTTTCTTTGTAGTGGCTACACAGTAGTTTCCCACCAAAAGATATTTAAAGCATGTCTATAAAATTAACTAAAGTTTTAAAGTAAGCAGCACGCAGAACTAAACCAAACTGAAAGCTTGTTCATTTTCTTAGGTCAGACCATAAAGTTAATACAACTCATTTCTCTGGGGCTTGAAATAGGTTAGTTGTTTGCTGTTTAAACCTTCCTTTTTCCCCCTGTTGTTGCAGCCTTCTCCATTTGAAGCTTGTAGACACTAGTCTGACTTTCACAGATACTATTAAAAAATCAAGGGGAAAAATAATGTTTCACAATCATAGTCAGACTTCAGATATAAAGCTTCCTTCTCATGATACATAAGCTCAAGATTTTCTGTAAAAGAAATTGTTCTGTTACTTTAGTGGGAGAGAAAATCACCATGTTCCTCTTAGTTGTATGTATCTATCTACTTGCACAATTTGAAAACAGACTTTTTAAAATTAAGGTATTGATAAACAATCTTATGAAGGTTTCACATGAGCAACATTGTGGTTTCAACATTCACTCATACTATCAAGTCCTCCCCACCCCATTACACTCACTCTCCATCAGCGTAGTAAGACACTATAGAGTCATTACTGTCTTCTCCGTGCTGTACTGCCTTCCCCGTGACCCACCTATATTGTTAGTGATAATTATAGTACCTCTTAATCCCCTTCTCCCTCCCTCTCTACCCACGCTCCCCAACCCCTTCCCTCTGGTAACCCTAGTCCCTTCTTGGAGAAAACAGACTCTGTTTTAACATCATGTCATTTCATTTACATAAGTAATAGTTGCAACTTTTTAAGGTAAATTTGTATTTACTAAGTAGTAGTTCAACTTCAATAGTTGCAACTATTCCAACTTTCTCCAAGACTTTAAGGGGGATAGGAGGACTTCAGTTTGCACACTTAGGTAAGCTGACAGTATTTGTAGACACTGGGGCACCATTTCTGAGGAATGACTTGGGTAAACACCTATTGTTTATCTGCCATTTCTTCATCTGCCATCAGGTGATGTTTTGTCAGTATTAAGTGATTAAGAAACAACTGGAACATGTTTATCCTGCTTTCACTTGAGCCAAACATTGAGGGATATAGTTTATTCTTGGTATAAGTATTAATCCTGTTGAAAAAAATCTTCAGGGCATTCCTTTTTGTCATTAGCTAGTGATATGAAGTGACTATAGTTTTCTTGGCAAAATATTTGAATATTTAAAAGTGTTTTAAAGAATGGAGGCTGTTACACAAAGTCAGAAGAGAATTCTAAATTTCATTGTTCCATTCCTGGCTAACGTGGAGGAATTTTATTAACCAAGGGCAGTATTTAAGAACAGTGCTAAGCGTAACTAAACCAAGAGTTTGTATTTCTAGCTAGACATTTCTTGATCCTTTACAGAATAAAGGTACATGACTATGACTTAGCCTCAATTGGTGTAAAATGCAGAAAAGGATATATTTTTTATTTTGTTGCATTGGAGCAAAGAGTGTGAACTAGTTCCTTGACAAGCATGTTTCATCATACATGCATTTGCACACCCAGTCAACCATTCAATATCTGGCAGTATATATACTAAGGTAAATAATTTCAACTACAGGTTCTGCCTTTGTGTAGCAAATGAGTGTTGTTACTTGTAGGCTTGATGGGTATACCTTATAAAATATATCTCATCTTACTAAGTTTTGTTGAAACTTGAGTTCATAGAATAATTAACCTGTGATTTAAAGCCAGAGTTAATCTGTTTCTGAACTCAAATTACTTTATCTCAAAAATGTTTATGTAGTTCATGTCTGTTATCATTACCTCAAGAAAGGTTGTCCCTTCTCTTGCATCATAACTTTTCTTTGACCTTTGAAAGATTAGTTAACTGACTTTCAGGTTTTTGCTCGTGGTGCTAAATAGTAAACCCTAAGGAGGAGCAGACCCAGAACTTAGCCATCTTAACTGAGCAGTATGACCACAACATTAATGAAATGCTCTCCACTCAAGCTGTAAGTTTATTTTACTTAGGCAAAACAAATTTAGTGCCCCTTTCCTTCCACCACCTGAATAAAATCCCAACAATTAAAATATTAAGTTGGAAATGGAAACTCTCCTGTACCTTGGGAAATAGTGATGGTGGTTCATATTCTTCTTGTTCTCAGCATTGCTTGGAAATATGCATGATGTATGCATAGTTCTCTTTGTTACATTTGGAAATGAGGTTCTACATAGGCTCTCTGCTGGTGCCTTGCAGGGGTTTAGTACATATACCAACAGCTTATGAAGATTGGAGAAGAAGCTTTGTTAAGCAGTGTTCAAAAGTAGTACTTTATTGGGAATCCAGATGGTCACATTTGAGTGCATGTACAAAATATTTGCTATTTAAGTTTCCAGGCTTTTTCTTAATAGGCCAGATAGTATTTTAGGCTTTGTGGGCCAGGAGGAAAAACTGACGTTATGATGTGGGTATACATAGCCATTTAAAATGTGACCATTTCAGAATGTAGAAACCATTCCTAATTAGTGGAGTATTGAAAGACAAAAACAAAAAATCAGGTAGCTGTTCAGATTTGGCCCATAGCGGTAGCATGCTTGTCCCTGTTCTGTAGTTATTTTCATTGGACAGAAGAGATTCAGAGTCATATCAATCAGATTCTATATTTTTCTTTAAAAAAATAACAATTATTTAGGCATCATCCAAATAGCTTATGATAGCTTCATTTTTATAATGCCTTCATTGGTTGCTATGCTTTCCTTTTTACTCCAAGTTGTAAGAGAGAACAGTTGTGCCCTATAGAAGAGTAGTCTGTCTTAACTTACACATCCTCCTTTCCATACATCATGAAAAGATAGCTCACAGCAGGATATATCTGTTTTCTTTCTCTCTTTCAGCCGCATTTGGATGAAGCACAGGAGGCAGAGTGCCAAGCTTTGAAAATGCAGCTGCAGCAGGAAGTGGAGCTGTTGAATGCATGTCAGAGGAAATTCAAGATGCAGGCTGAGGTGCAACATGATCTAGAGCTTCGGGAGCTTGAACAGAGGGTCTCCCTCTGCAAGGCACTCTTAGAACAAAAGGTGTAAGTAATAGAAAAAAGTAATTGTGCTAGTATTTGCTTTCATCAAAATCATTTCATAAATATATTTTCATGATGACAGAGGTGGCATTAGATTGTCTTCACAATACCATTTTGCTTAATTCTAGTTTTGGTAGTATTTTCTTTTTCTTCAAAATTACTGATTCAGTAATGAACCTTAAAATTAATCAGCTTTATGTGAACACAGTTGAATTGTAAAAGGATAGCTCTGGCTCTGTCTTCCTCTCTGCTTTTGTATACCTAAAAAAATTGGAGAAAAAGTTGAATAGTGAAGGAAAAACTTTAGTAATTGTTTGGTGTTAGGCTGGAGGGAGGAAAAACAAGGACATGCAAACAGAACAGAGAGATGCCATAGGGGGAGGACAGACCAGACCCCAAGGTCCATGCCTTATATGAAAGGAGACAGCTCTTCCTGAATTCCATCTTTCTGATGTGCCAACTAAGACCCGGATGTCAGCTTCCTCCCTCTTGGAAGGAAAAAAAGTTTCTAGTTGTCTATTATGTCACCTTTAGCCAATCATACCTCTCCACACACCCTAGGATAGCTTGCCCACTCCTTCCCCTTCTAATCCCTTATAAGCCCCCACCTCCCTGACCGGGTGTGACTTCCCTGGTCTGTAGTACCCAGACCACAGAACATCACCCAGGAGTGGCATTCAAATAAACTACCTGGTCTTTGTTGCCTCTCTTTGCCTGCTTATTTCAGTTAAAATTTATCTTACATTTGGTGCCAAAATCCTGGGAAGGAGCATGAGTGCGGGGCCCCGACTGGCCACCGGTGGCCCCACCCCCTCCTTCCCCAACTCAGGACCTCAGCCTGCTCTGGACTGTTTTCCGGTGAGTCCCTCAGTGACCCCTAGTCTGTTTCCCTTCGTAACTCCATTTCATCTGGTACATTAGAAATCATGCGTACATTCAGGTGGGGCATCTGGCCCCTGGGCATTTGGCCCACCCTCTGCAGGCATCCAGCCTGCTCCTGACCCTACAGTAAGGGAGACGTCCCTACCCCAGGCCTCAGGACTTCTGTTGGCATCTGGAGATGTCCCTCACCCAGGCTCCCAGGATGTCTCCCCTGACTTGGCATGCTTGGGACGCTGGGCGCTCCTCTCAGAGGGATTAGTTGGGAAGTGTCACAGACATGGGGAATCAGCCCTCAAAAGCAGAGGCTCAGACCCCACTGTGGTGTCTCATTTCTAATTTGGCTACTCTATATTTGTCCCAGGAAGTACGCAAATAGAAGCTAGTCTTTCTTTGCTCTGAGGCTGGGCCTCAGTATCTCTTGGACAATCAATCTCACTGGCCCCCTGAGGGAACTTTCAATTTTAGCCTCCTCACCACCTTGATTAATTATTGCCACTGGAGCACATAGTAGAGTGAAATCCCATATGTGCAGTCTTTTTGGACTTTGCACTCCCGTCCAGACCTTTATGTTGTGTTCATTTTTATAATGCCTTCATTGGTTGCTATGCTTTCCTTTTTCAGAGATGTTTACTCCAACATGTAAGAGAGAACAGTTGGTTCTCCTAGCCCCATCTCCAGTCCATCTGTCAGCCTCTTACTCTACCCAGTCCTTCTTCCTTTTTAGATCCACCAGAAAACCTCAGTCACCCGCCTCCCTCAGCTTGTGATCCACTCACCCTCTCTCCACCACCATCTTTAAGTCCTTTTTCCTCCCCCATGTCATAACCATCTTAAAGTCCTACATTCTCAACCATGCCATTGTCCTGCTCTCCTCTTTCAGTGGCTGCACAACCCCCTCCCCCTCTCTTTCAGCCTTCACAGCCCTCTTCCCCCACTGGAACACACTCTTCCCACTCTCTGGTTCCAGAAGCCACGGACAGGAAGCTGAAGAGAGGGAAGGCAATTGGATATCAGTGACTCAAGTCTTTTTATTGGTTTGTCTGTCTGTGTATATGTTTTTGTGTGGGGAGTGTTGCTGACTGTAGTCATTGTATCTCAGTTTGTACGTTTGTGTGTCTAGGTGTATAGATGAAAAATATTTTATTTAAAAATAAGCATTTGTGAAAGTTGGGCATTCTAAAACTTCCAGAAAATCTGATAAAAATGTTAAGCATTTATGCTAATTTGGGTTTGGCTGAGGCGGGCATGTCCTTGTTTTTATCAGCTGCCTAGGTTTACCTAAGGTCATTTAAGTCAATGTTATCCACTAAATCTTTTATGAATGAAATGCTTAAATGCTTGGCTTTGTCTAATCTTCAGAAAAGGTTTTGTAAGTAATCTAGCATAGTTGCTAATAATAAGTAAACAAGCCTAGCAAATAAATATCTTAATAACAATACTGTATTAATGTATAACAGTGTATATGTATGCAAACAGCCTGAGAATTTTTGTAGTAAACGAAATTCTTAAAGTTTGCTAAGTTATATAGACATATTTTGTGCCTGATAAAAAATTGTGCCATAAAGCACATTTCCAAAAATGATAATATATGTTCATAGATGTATCAATCTGAATAATGCTAGTGTAACAGTTTACAATAGCCTGCTTCTCAGAGTTCACTAAAAATTAAGGTACCTAATGGTCTTAAGTTCTAAACAAAACTACTTAAAGTAATAAGGAAAACATTTCTTCATACTAAAGAATGTGTCTTTTGATAAAAAAATAACTTTGTTCTAAAGTACAACTGTTTATTTAGAGGGAGAAATCTAAACGTAAAAAGGTTGTAGAAAGTTTGTGGAAGAATTTAATATGGTCATGCTATATAAAATTAAAGCAAATGAGTCTCGGTATCAAGTACACAGCAAAATTAGAATTTTGTTTTCAGTTAAAAAGACAAAGTTTTCTTAACTGTTAGTCTGCTCATAATGAAAATTGCAAAAAGTTCTCTAATTGTTTTATCAAAGCAGTTTATCATGCTTAAAGTCTCAATGAGTTGTCAGAGTATTTAAGAAAATGAGATCTTAATATTAAAAGGACTAAAAGCTAAAGTTTGCTAACAACTGTGTAACCTTCTTTGTTTGCCTTTGAAGTATTTTGTTGTCATTCTGGTTAAATAGATAAGTATTGCTTCATAGCAACCTATAATCCTATTTAAGCAAGTGCCTTAAAACTTTTAGCAGCTTCCCAAAATCAAACTCAAAAAGGTGCTTTTTCCTCTAGTTAACTCTGATATTTTCCAGAAGGCCCCTGGAACATGTCAGAAGAACTTTTTCTCATTGGAGAAAGTATTTGGCTAATTTAGCTTATTTTTCTGATATATAATTACCTGCTTAATTACCTAGAAAGCACTGTCAAAAAGAATAATGTTAAACTTTGTTACTAAATGTTTTCTGTTACAGAAATATCAAAATTTCCTTATGTCAACTGTCTTACAGTAAGTTCTCATCAAATCTTTAACCATTGTCATTTGTAAGTCTTTTATTATTTATAGCCACTCTTTTATTACTCTTAAGCTAGTAAACAACTAGATTTCAGCAGAACAGGTATTAGTTACATAAGATTAAGTAAACCAAGGAAGATGATTTTATGGCTTTTTGTTTCAAATGTTGTTGATAAAGTGTTTTAAGCTTTTTCTATTAAGCTGACAACAGTTTAGTAAATGATTGTCTTTATAAGCAGAATTGAGGCTTTATCTTTCTCTCTACCTGATCCCTCCAGAATTAAAAAAAAACTCTCAGTGACTATTTTTATATTTCATGGCAGTATGTTTATTTGCACAAGTTCAATAAGAATCTGCTTTCCTTGTAAGAGGACCAATTAAAAACGCTAGTTATATTACCAAGGCTTTGACTGGAATGTCATACCTGAGAGACACGTGTGTAAACTCAGATGCGAACAGACAGCTTTAAGGAACTAAGATTGACTTTATAAAGCCAACAAAGCCCCTTGGAGGAACTAGCCTGATACTTGCTTACATGGTTCCCAGCAGCCTTATCAGGTGAGTAAGGAAGGTCATTTCCTGGCAGGTGCAGGAACCTTAGAATGTCTTGGGGTCCTCGAGAAGAGAGGAATTCACCCAAATCTACAGGTACTGCAGGCACAACCTGATAGCAAGTCTAGCTTGGCTTTCTGGCCTCAAGAAACCTTTAAAAGTCCAATCTGAAATTCCTTATAAAAAGTTCCAGCAAAGCATATTTAAAAGAGCCAATTGCTCTTCTTGCTGCACTTATGCAAATAATCAAGCCAACTGTTAATTATTTTCTTAATCTGGCTACTTCTAATAAAAATAAGGGTGATTTTAGAGAAAAGTATTGTTTCAATAATGCAGTCTTATCTATACTAAATCCTCATACCAGTCATTGAGATGTAAACTTGATCCAGAATTCCAGTTCCCCATAATGGCCTGGCTAATGCCCCTACTGGGCCCCTTAATAACAATTTGTGGTTTACTCTTTGTTGCCCCTTGTGTCCTCAGGTTCCTCCAACAGCAGCTAACCCAGATGACCCAGGTCGCCACCAACCAGATGTTACTTCACCGTTATGCACCCCTTCCCACTAAACCCCTTCCTTTGGCCTCAACTCCCACAATGCCCTTTGTTAGCCAGCTGTAGCCAGATCGAATCATTGCCCATTATGACCAAAAGGCTGGAATGTTAGTCTGGAGGAAGGAAAAACAAGGACATGCAAACAGAACAGAGAGATGCCATAGGGGGAGAACATGCCAGACCCCAAGATCTGTGCCTTATATGGGAAGGAGACAGCTCTTCCTGAATTCCATCCTTCTGATGTGCCAACAAAGACCCGGATGTCAGCTTCCTCCCTCTTGGAAGGAAAAAAAGTTTCTAGTTGTCTATTATGTCACCTTTAGCCAATCATACCTCTCCACACCCTGTAGGATAGCTTGCCCGCTCGTCCCCCTCCTAATCCCTTATAAGCCCCCACCTCCCTGACCAGGTGTGACTTCCCTGGCCTGTAGTACCCAGAATGTGGAACATCACCTGGGAGTGGCATTCAAATAAACTACCTGGCCCTTTGTTGCCTCTCTTCGCCTGCTTATTTTGGCTAAAATTTATCTTACACTTGGGA